AAAAGTATAATAAGACAATGTATTTAAATCACACTAAAAATTGCCTTATCACTTGGAGTTAAATCAGTTCACCTGACAGACCATTTGGAGTCAGGTCCTTTTTGATACGTTGTTCCAACCATTTTGTTATGTGTTAACTGCACACAGAGTATCTTTACCACCAGAAGGCCATTTTCACTTAATGAATACTTAAAACTTGGAACAGTTTTGGCAAAGTGCGGAAGAACTGGCTCTGTCTCCTACTGGTATTCTGAAGTGAACTTGAAACAATTCTCCTTCTGCCCATCTCTCACCAGTGCAACAAGGTCAAAAGCAGATCCCTCAGAGTCCTGTTACCTGCTCATTGTGCGCTCCTGTGCAGCATGAGAATTGCTAATGTTTTGGAAAGCCGCGATGAATTAGATACCCCATGCGTTGAAGGGGTGCCCAGTCCTCTAAGCTACTCAATAGAAAAGAGCCACTAGTAACTTGTCAGCTCTAATGAAATGATTTTCTTACAGAGCAGAGATATGTTCTTTTTCATACTGCATGGCTTATTTGGTTTGATATAAAAATACTTTTTGCTCAGCAAAACTCAATGAATCACCTTAATTCTGTTTATTTTTTTGGGGGGGGAGGGAGAGGGAGACACAAGCTAAGCAAATTTGTGTTAGGACTTGACTATGTGTAGTTAGCTGAATTTGTTTGGGGGCTGGAGGATAGACTAGATGACTTACAAGGGTATTTTCCAGATGTATTTTCTATGATTCTCAGGACATCTATCAGCTTCTATTTGAAGCAAATAATTTCTATGGCTTAGGAATGGTCAAGAAACTGGTTATCTAACATGGGTTATCTAACAACCTTCCATCACTGCAGGTTTTCAGTCTCCTAGGCTATGTCTTCTAGCACTTAATTATCCTTTGTGTTAGATGTTTCTCTCTACTATCTTCTGAAGTCTCCCTTGTCACAATAAAAATCCATTTCTTCTAGCCACATTTCCCATGGTCATGAAAAACAAGTTTATTTTTTTCCCTTCTATTCTTCAAGTAACCTTTTCATGTTTGAAAGCGGTGATCGTGTACTCCCCTAGACTAAATAAGCCCTAAATCTAGCTGCTTTTTCATAGGTTGTATCTTCTAGACTTTGGATCACTTCTGTTGGTTCAAATTGTTTGGCATAGACCTTCATTTTCCAAGAGCTGCTTCCTCCCCACAGACAAGTGGACAAATAGATCTGTAGCGGCAGGATATGAAACTCGAATGTGCAAATACTGACAAATAAAGATTTAACCAAACGTATATACTAAGCTGAATTTGAAGTGTGGGGTACCTTTGCTTCAAAGCTTCTTCTAGCTTTTCACTTCGAGCATGGTCACGTTTGTACACACAACAGCTGAGTTTGAGAGCAAGAGAAATATCAGCTATATCCAACAGGAGTTGAATTATGGTAGAAGCAGGCTGACGAGAATCTCTTCTTCCTGGTCTTCTTCAGGTTCTGGCAGTTATGGACAGCTCATGATAGGGTCTTGAAAGTGAAAGCTTGGTGCTTTTCTCTACTGATCCTGGAGATTCCTGGGAATGCCATTTTAAAGGTGTCTTCATTGTTGTTGAAAGTTAGCAGCTAGCTATCAGACTTGAGGGAGAAATAGTTGTGAAGTGCATGTTTGCACACAGATCACCATGAACTGATTTTTAAGGAGTTTATAAATCCTAAGTAACAATGAAGCGCTTTGCAGGTGGAAGTGGCCGCCTTCCTCAGGGGAGTCTTGCAGCTACAGGACGTCAATGACAACTCTTTGAGGAGGAGTTGGGCATTCCAGTCTGAACTTTTCTGGTTGACTTGTGCAGCTTGTCCTTTAGGGCACTGTTATCAAAGCATTATTGTATCAGTGTGATTAGAGTTACTCATACAGCTCAGTACGTGCTGGCGTGCTGGCTTTACACACGAGTGAGATGGGAGCCTTCCTTGAGGAGTTTAGCACTCTGTGCAGACAAAAGCAGTGACTTAGGAAGCAAGTGAAAAAGCAGTGGTTTAAGTGCCGCTCTTATTGACATAGGTGCCATGCTGCTTTTACAGATCAGAAGTCACTGCTTCTAAATCCATGTGAAAATTGTGAAGTTTCCACAGGGCAGGACTACTGTGGTTTGCCTTCCAGCCCACAGATATTCAGGAGATTTACAGCCATTAGGCAAGTATGAAAGAGATTAAAAACTACCTCTCCATCTTAACGTTGTGCTTAGTGATATTAGATACTGAGAAGGCACCACTGTGTTGGTCTGAAGTTCTGGTTCTGGTTGTGTTTGGAAGTGAGATGCAGTGAAATATATGAGCCAAGCTTCACTGTTCATTTTAGTTTACTCAAGAGCTATGTGCTCACAGGTGAGTGCATATTGAAAAGGTATTTATTTTGGCAGCTGATGTCAGGAGTTGACTCTGTCTTTCAACACCAGCAAAGCATGTGTTAATGTCGGTGCCTTGGAAATACAATGAGGGGTTGGGATTGCATTAAAGTACCCGGAATGACTCCAAATTGTACCCATGCTGAAACAAAGACTTGCTGCAGCCTCTTCAGGTGTCAAGCAGATGCCTCTTCCCCAGTTTATACCAGTCCCATAGGCATACTGAACTGCCTGTCTGTGCCAGGATAAATTTGTGGGTCTCAGGTCTGGAGATGTGCCGAGTGATGCATCTGCATACAAACATGCTGATGGACACCATGAAACTGGAATAAAACTGTAAAAGCTATGAAATTTTGAGACTCAATTTGCAATAAACTTCCTGTTAAGTCATTGTCCGGGTTTTCCATTTGTTCCCCTTATTTGCCAGGTATATTTTTGCCACAGATAAAAGCCTGAACAATGAATGTACAAATCCAAGTCATAGTAAGGGAGGGAACCCCTTACGCTGGCCGCGTGTTTGTAGTGGAAATGCTGTCAGCATTTGCGAGAGAGAAGATGCTGATATCTGACTTTGGCTGGTTAAAAAGAATTTTACTTCAGTGTATTTTGGTCTTCAGGATAGCGACAATAGAATTATATGGAAGAGGTGTCTTGTCCCCACATCCTCTGCCACCTGTTTATCTGTATTTTTGAAGTACAATCATTCGGGCAGGAATCCAGATCTAGAATTTGATGTAGTGAATTAATAGATTAACGCCTTTTCCAGACCCCTTTTATCAGGACTATTATGTACTCAAATAGGTCATAGAAACAATTAAAAAGGCAAGAAGTAGTGTAAGAGAATTTTGTGTAGAAAAACTAACTTTTACCGACTGCTGCTGGGACTTGCTGCAAAAGTAAAATTACTTTGATAAGATGTTTCCTGTTTGAACAGACGTTTGACTGTGTGTCCTTTGGTTTTTAAGGAAGTCTCAAATGAAATCCCTTCCCAGTTGCTTAGCTGTCTGGGTGGTTTTTATTACTTTGAAGTTAGGCTTTATCTGCTGGCTTCATTCACAGACTAGCTGGCTGCTTATCACATCTGTGGATCAAATCTTCAAAGGTTTTGTCTGAAGAGTTGGGATTTATGAGGTCACGTGGAATCCCCCTTGGAGGGAGTTCAGCCCATGGCAGCAGGGTTGCGGGGAGAAGCTTTTGTCCGAAGGTGATACTGGGCAGGGCAGGGGCTCCGCCATGCGCCAGAGGGATGTGTGTGTCGCGGGGTGGTGCCCAGAGCCAGGGGAGCGCTGGACTGTGAGCGCTGGCCCGTTTTCAGCATGCAACGTATAGGGAATGTGGGAGACCAGAGCGCATTCCTAGACACAGACTCACCGGGCTGCTGCTTCCAGTAGGGCTGTGTGAAATGTCAGAAGGAATTAGACCCGTGCTGGAATTGACATCCGCGTCAGGCTCTGCAGCACTAGGTTTCATGGCGCTTTTACAGCCAGGCTTAGTAACAGCACTGAATGGGAGAAAATGATGATTTCTTTTTCTCTGTAAATGTGGCTGCTGCTTGCCTTTACTAAAATAAAAAAATAAAGAAAGAAAAAGAAAGAAAAGAAAACAAGCCAAAAGGCTGCCTGACTTTCTGCTTACTGAAATAGCTAGCAATAGCTGTCAAATCCGCAGCCAAGGCTGCCTCGTCATCCCAGCCCCGAGCGTCCCTTGAACAGTATGCCAGCTAAGATGAGCATCTCCAGTAAAAGCATATTTTAGTACTCTTGCCTCTGGAACATAGCATGATTTTTCAGGCTGTGTTCAGGCATGCCAGGCTCTGCTGACTGTACAAAAATGTGAGGGCTCAGTATAGCAACGTATGTTTGTTGCATTTCTGAGAGTCTTGCAAGCAGCTTTAGCTGATTAGGCCACTAGAGATCATGCTTGGCTTCAGAGTAAGCAAAGTGATACAACTAACTTAACTATGTGTGCTGCAAGCAGGAGAGAATACTTGTCTGTGCTGATTTATACCTCCAGCTTTCACTCAGGAGATGAAGGTTGGGTTAAATGATTGCAGTGGTCTCTGTGCTAAAACAGTGTTGGAAAGAAAGTTGTTTTTCTTTGGATGAAGCGCACTGTGGAGTTACCTTCTGCAAGATGAACAAACAAGTTGAAGGCATTGTGAAGGTAGCATAACCCAGCTCGCTATGTGGGATTTAGGAAGGTATTTGTAAGCGTTAACTTGATGTGTTTGGAGACTTGGCTAGCAGTCTTTGTCAGACTCTGCTTTCCTCGATTTCTCCATCAGAACATACCACTGCTGCGCAGAGTAGTTCCACATTAAGGCACTTGGCTCTTTGGCAAAAGCTGCTACCTTTCAGCACTTATTAATGCAGTCCCACTTTGGATCAAAGCTCCACCCCTTGTGAAGAAGTAGAACTTATTAGAGCTTATTCAGTCTCCTTAGCCACCCGCTGTCCTTCTGCAGTGGCTCCTCCCTCCCTCCCACCCTTGGGTGGAACCAGAGAAGGGAAAACTTGACAATAGTTAGCAGGCAGCAGAGCTCGTAACAACTATTGCAGAAGCATGTCCAACTAGCCTGGTTAGCAGTTATTTTATCCTTCCCAAGGGTGCAGCTGCTGCTGAGTGCAGGAGAAGATGGTTATAGCCATGGGAGCCAGGAAAAATCTGAGAAGGAATGAGCAGCCGAGAGACCTGGCATTCCTTGGGCAGCTTCAAAGAACAATGAGGCATCTGAATCAGCGCAAGATGAAATGAGCACTTGCTGCTGCCATGTTGGCAGAACAGAGCTGTTCAGAGGCTGTTGGACAGGTTTGTGGCTAAGCCGGTTTATCCAGTGTTGAAGATGGGAAGTTACTTGTCTGCCCCAACTTACTTCGCTCCCAAGGATCCCTTTCGGTAAGTCTTGCACGGGATTAGCAGTGGAGCTCCAACTGTCCTTTCTCCCCTGTAATGCTATCTGAGCAGTTAGGGTGCGAGGAGGTGTGAAGAACGAAGTCCGGTGCTGCTGTGCAGGGAACAGTCGGCCGCGGGCTGCGGGCCTGTCCCGCTGTGAGCAGGAGACAGGGAAGAGCCTGGCTGCCAACTTCTGTTGCCTCTGCTCTGGTTAGAGGGAGCGGCACCTGGGTGGTGAGGCAGTGTCCGCTTAGCCCAGGTGAGCTGCATCGCCCCGTGCCCGCTCTGCACCCCTGCGCCAGAGGACTGAGATTGCTATGGCTGCTCCTTCTAATGTCTCCTCCAGTACTACGTGTGCTTGGGCGTAGCGCAGGGTGAGGGAGTGCCACATGCTGCTGTTGCGCGTTCAGGAAGGTAATGTAATCTGCAGCGAGGCAATGTATAATCATGTTTCAGAAAAGAAATCAAGTACTTTGCAGGTAACTAGGGACTTGCACTTTCCACTTAAATGGAAAGGATTCTTGCCCCGTGATACTTGGTTTATGTTAAGGTCCTTTCTTGGTCTGGTCAAACAAACGAGGCTTGAAGAAGGTGTTAGCTATAGAATAAAGCTTTGCTTGGGTTATGTCTCCATGGTGAAAATTGTTAGTGGGGCTGGACAGAGCCGTGATGCTGACTGATTGCTGATGTGCTGATAAGGTGGATGGATGGGGAAAGGCAAGGCCTGTGGTTTCATTGTCTCCCTCCTCTCCCCCCACCCAGGTTTGCCTATGATTATTGATCCTGTTCCTGTAAACACTGTAGTACTGAACTGGGGTGTGCAAATTGCTAAGCATCTAGGCAACTTTCTGAAGAAGCACCTGCTTTCAGAAAAAGGGAAGTGAGCAGCTATTCGTTACTCAGAATGTGTGTGAATGCACACGCTGTGGCTTAGCATGTCTGTAGCCGTGCTACGCCATAGATATACCTTGCACTAGGTGGTATGGAGATGGTTTTGCATAATCAGGGTTTAAATACTCAGTTTTCTCATAATTAGTCTGTGATTTCTAGCATCTGTTTTTCCTTGGCTAGTGTCTCTCTGTAGCCAGTGCACACACTTTCCTCATCCAGGCCTAGCAGCCGTTGGCTTAGCTGGGGGCTGGGGTTAGGCTGTATTCTGCAGCCTGCTGTCCTCCCCCCAACTCTGCCCACAGAACTGGAGCCGCAGCTCTTTGCTGCCTGGCCTGTGTTAACTGATCTAGCCTGACAGTCTGGGGGGGATTTTATTAATGAGCCCTTCTCAAAGGGATCAGTCTCTTCAGTGCCAGGGAGGTCTTCGTTTCCATGAGAGTATTGCCTTTCATTTAGATGTAAAAGAGATGCTTGCCACATCAGTTGAATCTCCCTCTTGCTGAAAACAGGGCTGGTTACCTGTTGTGACCTGATCCTCCTCCTACCCCCCCACAAAACCCAGCGGCCATCAAGTAGCGATTTGTGAACTCTTTCTGCACCTGCCGTGTGTCTGAGCCCTGGGGCTGAACACGGCCTTCCAGATGCTGCCCGGGGCTCTGGGAGACGGATTGATTTATTCTCGATTACCAAGGCTGGGAAGTGAAGAATCACAGTGTATAATGGGACTGTATAATCAGAGAAGGGTCCTGGAGCTCTGAGAACAGGGGCTGGACAGCAAGAGGAAACATGTCAAGTGTGGCTGCTTCCAGTCCTCCGAGAAACTGATTACCATGCTTTGTTGCTCTGCAATAAGAATACCAAATCATCTAGGAGAAGACTAGCAGTTTCTCATCTAAAAGACAGAGGAGCAAGAAACCTCCCCGCTTCTGACTGTGGTGACTGGCAAAGGTTAGCTTGCTTAATGCCTCCAGAAGTAATCGTGTAGTGCCACGCTCACTAGTGAGGAGGGAAGGAAGGAGCGGTAACTCTTGCATCTTCTGCTCTATCTGTCCGCTGAATCTTGTGGGGCAATCACACGGTGCCTTTATCACTTGGGCGAAGTTGAACTGTTGAAACAGTTCTTATGACTGTACCTGCGTGTTGTCCATCAGTTCTCCATATCTGACAAATCCGAGGCCTTTCCTACGTTGCAGAACTCACGGTAAGTAACAGCAGAAGGTGCCGTTTGGCAGTGTGGGCCGTAGCAATGTCCTCTGGCTGGTGGTGGTTAATGAAGCAGCCAGTTAGACCCATTAGCAGCATCTAGCGTCTGCGGAGCCAGGCTGTGCTTTGTTCCTGTTGCCTCACTGCCCTGGGTGGGGTCCTGAGCCTTGAGCTGCAAACTTGTCCTGCCCAGATTTGTTTAATTGCATAGCAGAGAGCTGACTGCTTGCTGACTCCACCCCCTCACCTTCATTTTGCTGTGGGTGTGTTGCGAGTTAGATACCAGCGTTTATTTCCGGATGGAAGCAAACTGATCAAGTGCTGTAAGGTTGGATCAAACCGCAAAGAAGTAGGGGAAAGCTAAAGGGGGGACACATGCACATGATCCTCTGGAGCCAAAAGCAAAGTGCAGAAGTGTTGCTTTTGCTGCAACTTTAGATTTTCTGTGGGAGAAAAGGGAGTGGATGAAGCTGGAGAGGAGTGAGGAAGGGAAGGTATTGCATTTTTTTTAAACCGAAAAGTACCAAAACAAAAAAAAATCTCACCCACCTGCTTGGAGAGAACTTTGTCAGAAGGGCAGGTCCTAAAGCTCTGGTGAAGCAGTCCCCTGTCTCTAGTACTGCTGTCTGCATCCCAAGTGCAGGTCTGGTCACAGCTCCCAGGTTGAAGATGTAATCGCTCTTGGAGCATGCACTGGTACAGGCATGCACGCAGCAGTCAGCTGAGTCTGAGGGATCCAGTTTGCCCATGCTCAGCCAGATGTTCCTGCCACAGGCTGATAGAAATCTCTGATGTTAGTCTGCTCTTGCTCTGTTCTCCCTCCTACTCACCTACTTGATCATTCAGCGTGGGTTATTTACTGCAAATGAGAGCCGAAGGTTAGTGGTGGAAGGTAAAATGCATTGCAATGCCCTCCAGGTCGTTTGCATGCCATTAGCAGGGTGTAACCCTGACAGTGCCCCAAGGCTGAGGCTGTAATAAGAAGTGTACCATGTATCATAATGTAAGAAGTCACTGCTCCCCCTGCCTCAGACAAAATTGGCAGGGGCCGTTGCACATGTTGAGGTTCTTTCCCATCACTGAGGAAAGGAGTGGGGACAGGATTTGGAGCTCCTCAGCCAGGAGAACAAACACTATAAAAGCCAAATACGTTGGAAGGAGCAACTTTCCTGAGGGACAGGGTACGGCACTAAATACCTCTTGAGGTGCGTTTTCCCCTCAAACTGTAGGCTACGTACACGCAGCTTCAGCTTGTTGCTTTGCAGTCTCTTGAGATGGAGCAAATAAGCTCTCCATGTTGGAGCACAACCTGCTTCTTAGATCCGCGTGCCCATTACAAACTGGTGGAGTTTACAAGGAATGTCTTGGCACAAATAAGCTTTCAGGAAGCCAACAGTACCTCTCACCTTAGACCTAGGAGCACAAAAAAAGTGCTCCCCCACTAGCCGACTCCAGTGCCTTTGGTGCTGTGGAGAGGCCTGCCGTTCAGGCGGGCACACTCCTGGCTGAACTCCCACCAGTGTGACCTGTTCCCCCCCCAGCGTGGTAGCTGAGCCAGTTGTTTGGGTGGGGGCAGAAGAAACTCCTCCTTTCACCTTTGGGAAACCATCCTGCTGACAAAGACATAGATCCTCTAGGTGTTCTTTTGAAGCGTGGTTAATGGTGACTAGCTTGCCTTCGGTTCTGCACTCAGAAACGGCCTCTGCCAGGCTAATTTTCCTGGTGAAGTCTGAGAACATGCTGCCCAGGGCTAGTGAAATAATCTGTAGTGATGCAACTACCAAGGGAGTGTAGTCCTGTCTGTGCCTTATCTCGCTATTAAGTCACACCTCTGTATGGCAAACTTGAAGAAGGTAAACTCCCCTGCCCAGTGTGTCCTGTTAAGGCAGGATGATATGTGTCCAGGAAGCCTGAAGATCTGGGTTCTGCTTTTGACTTGCCAAAATGATGTCTGTAATAGCATTGCTGCATCTCTTTCCTTGCTTTTTGTAGATAAAGGATTAATAATGGTTGCTTGTTGAAAAGAGGGCTAACACTGATGTCTGAAGGGTTTTAAGGTTCCCTTCCTGAAGTCAGAGAAGTACTTGGGTGTGGGTGTTTTTTTGTTTTTTTTTTTTTTTTTGTGTTTGTGTGTATACACATGCTCTGTTCTGAGCAGAAGGAAGAGGAGAGAAATTCATGGGGAGAGGTGGGAGACTTCCATTGCAGTTAAATGGTGGATGCATTAAGTGTGTGGAGCTGTAAGGGTGAGCGGCTTTGAAAGCTCTTCCTGAAAAGGATAATGTTGCAGCTGACCTTTTGGGAGAGGACTACCTATAGAAAATTAGAGGGGCTTTACCTAAAGGCTGGTGCAAAACTAGCTTTGCCTTGCATAGGGAAGTGGATCCAGCCTCTCTGTTGTTCTCCCTCCTAAAGTGGCTGAGGAGACAGGTGCTCTGACACAAGATAGCATGATGCTACAAAGTAGAAAGGTTGGAAAGCTGTCCGTGTGCTGGACGACTCTGCGAATGGAAGCTCGCGTCCTCGCAGAAAGAAGGAGAAAGCAGAGGTGGGTCTTGCCGTTTGCAAAGAGAAACAAAATTTTAAAGGCAAGGTAGTACCTTAAACCAACTGATGTGTTTTAAGAAATGGGTGAAACCTATTTGAAATGTATGTCTGAAAACTTGTCTTTTCCAACTGCGTTAGCTGATACCACCTCTCCTTACAAACCCTGATTTTGGTGCCAGTCTTCGGTTGAAAATGAATTGGCAAATGGATTTGGTACATCTACAACTAGAACATCTGGGGAGAAGCTGCGAATGAGATGTCAGTTTTGTCCATGCAGGAGAGAACCTTCTCTGTTGGTTTGTGACTTGTTGCTAACTGGAACTTTGTTCCTTTGTTTCCTTCAAGGTGCTCTGAATGTCAGGATCCCCTCACTAACTGGTACTATGAGAAAGACGGGAAGCTTTACTGTCACAAAGACTACTGGGGGAAGTTTGGAGAATCTTGCCATGGCTGCTCTCTGCTGATGACTGGACCTGTGATGGTAAGGGCTCCGACATGCTTGCCCCCAATTCCTTGTTCTCAGCTGGGAGTTCTCCTAACTATTCAGATAACCAAATAAACTCATGATAATATTCTACTTGCTACTCAGCTTTTGTGTAAGAGATTAAAAATTAGCCTTTTTTGTCCACCTTTGAGGTACAGATTTATTTTGAATGGGGACAGCTCTTCAAGGAGGGAGTTGTGAGGATCTGAAGCGTCTAAGTGATGGGAGCGTGGCCCTGAAACGCACGGACATGAGAAACAGGAAGGTGACTTAGGGGACTTGTGTTCAGTTTCTGTAGCACAGTGCCTCAGCCCCTCCATGCAGTGGTTCTCTATCGCACTGTGGAGTCCTACCTCAGCTCAGGAGAAGCAGCAGTGCAGGTTCTGGCTTTGGGGAAGGTTGCCATCCAAGTCCCTCCTGGGCTATGGCCACAGTGGCTTTCCAGCCAGAATTGTCTTGAAGTAGTGTTAGTCCTGCTTGCTTGAAGCATTGAATTCCACCTGCACAGATGGGGTTCACCTGAATGTTCCCCTCCTTGCCAAAAACTTAACCTTTAAAACTGTCAAGAATGAAAGTAACTGTTATTTTTCCAGGGCCTAAATAAAAGCAGCATTCAGTAACAGGTTTGCTGCCTCAAAGGGAAGTACTGAGAAGAGCGCAATTTCTTATTGCCTGTGGAAGTCTTTACAAAATATTGTCAATAGGGGGAACTTTTGTAAGGACAACAACAAACTAGATCAATGAATCAAAATGTTCTTTAAAGGTATTCTATTGCCTCAGTTTCAGTTTTTTGGGGTGTTTTTGTTTTTTTTTTTTTCTCCTGTCAGCTGGCTGGTAAAGTATCTGAATTTGTACTCCATCTGTCTGCCAAAAAAAAAGAAAAAGCCTTTTCAGCTTTACTAATTCAGGCATAACATTAGTTATTGTGCCAAGAGCAACTGAACAGGAAGGTTTAATATCTTGTTTACTAAGCTGCAGCAGAGTAGTATTTTTGATAGTTGAGCAGCTGCCAAATATAGCAGAGGTTCCTGGGGCACAAGCTTTGCTTCACATGCTGATGTTTGTTTCAGAGAAGTTTGGCAACCAAGGTGCCAAGCTTGGAGTTCAGGAAGGGTAGAATGGGCGAATGTTACGCTCTAATAAAAAGCTACTACTTGGCCTTGATCTGGATGAACACGTTAAAGAGAGGGAAGTTGTATCTGCATCCCCTGATGGATTTTTGCCCTACTAAACTGTTTCCCTTTCTGTCTGTGTAGGTGGCAGGCGAATACAAGTATCATCCCGAGTGCTTTGCTTGTATGAGCTGCAAAGTGATCATTGAAGATGGGGACACTTATGCACTCGTGCAGCATTCCAGTCTCTACTGGTAAGATGGAGCTGCACGCTTCATCACTGATAATTTATGTTGCGCCCAGCTGTATGTTTAAGCCACGTTCCCTGGGCTGTCAGCTGGCTCAGGGTGGTTCAGCTTAATGCTACAATAAGGAACTCTAGGAAGCTCCCTTTTGCGGGAGGGAGGAGGGGAGTAAGCACTAAAAATTATAGCTTAGGGTCAACAGGAGAACTTAGACGTGTGGGTTTGGCAGGGAGAGATGGGACACTGCCATGGTGACTTTCTTTGCTTCTTTTAGTGGAAAATGCCATAACCAGATTGTGCTGACACCAATGATAGAAAAACACTCCACTGAGTCTCTGCGTGAGCAGCTGCCCTATACACTGACCCTCATCTCCATGCCGGCAGCCACTGATGGCAAGAGAGGATTCTCCGTGACTGTTGAAGGTGGCTGCTCCAGCTATGCCACTGGAGTCCAGGTGAAAGAGTGAGTATGACAAGGCCGTGTGCTAGGTACACGTCTCTGCAGAGGGAGCTGGAAAAAATTCCACAGTGCTGCTGTCCTTCCAGCTGCTTTAACTGCCCTGGGAGTCTGTCTCAGTGCAACAGGAGCGTACGGAGGCTAATAGCCATCTGTGTTTGGTCTTCATTTGCTCTTGTGGTGACCTTGAATGGTAGCTTTTCTTCTCAGTGCTGTCTCCTTCACTGAACATGCAACACTTGGGGAATTGTAATGAACTAGCGATTTTTGTCATTGGGCCACTGAAAAGCTCTCCACAAACCAGCTCAGACCTGAGCGCTTGCTCTAATGGTAGCTCACTGTGTGGGTAGATCAACATTGCTTTATTTCAAAATAACGGTAGGGAGAGAAGCATCAGAGACCAAATGGTCTTTGATGAGGCAGGCTAAACTGACTTATTCCTCCCCTACCTTTACCTCCCATGTGTAGAGTTAACAGGATGCACATCAGCCCAGATGTCCGAAATGCCATCCACCCTGCGGATCGTATTCTGGAGATTAATGGAGCTCCTATTCGTACATTACAGGTGGAGGAGGTGAGTAGAGTTCTGTCATGAAGGATCCTTCTCATCTGCCTTTGTACAGTTTTTTTTTTCTCTTGGCACTGTTCTCACCACCCGACATACAATGTCTGTGTGTAGATCCATAGTGCTCATGTTCATTCTTAGTGCTAGTATAAAGATAAGCTTTGCTACCCTTTCCAGTTGAGGAGGCAAGTGTAGCAGATGGAAAGGCAGTTAGGATGCAGTTCTGAATTCATAGCCTTCAAAGGCGAAGGAAAGGTGATAAGGAAAGCGTAGAGCTCTTGACATCTCAGAACAGAGGGGCTGTGAAGACCATCTGCATAGTGCCAACGAAGTCTGCTGCTCTGATCCCTGTAGAGGCAACTATGAATAGAGAAAGGCTCAGCTGGCCCTAGGGATGAATTTCACATTGCAAAAAAATGTATTTGGTGTCTGTATTTACAAGTAAATGCTTTATATAGATATCAAGTGATGTTGCAATGGTATAGTGAGACCACCATTACCTTCATGACGCAAGGTTTTTATTTACTGTTGGTGTTGAGGAGGATGTCTGGAGCACAGCAGATGTCTCTCAGATAAATCTCTGTGTAGCTTAATGATTCTTTTGCAAAGTTGTTTTTCCCAGCGCTGTTCAGGATGGAATCCCATGTAGTTTTCTCAGAAAAAAGGGCTTGGTTTCTTGTAGCTGACCAGAACAGAAGAGGATCTGGATAGGATGAGGAACTTCTGTGTAGCTAGTTTGACTTGTCTGGTAGACAGCTGTGGTGTGTGCAACTAAACCACAACTATGGAGTGATCTCACTGAACTTGCTGCTCTGATTCCTGAGGGGCGTTCTGCTGTGTCTCCTATTTGTTGTCATTCATGTTCCTCCTGTTTGCTTTCATCCTGTCCTTTGGTTTGATTTCAGGTGGAGGACTTGATTCGCAAGACTAGCCAAACGCTTCAGCTGCTGATAGAGCATGACCCTGTCTCACAGCGCTTAGACAGACTCCGTTTGGACTCCCGGCTTCCCACCCACATAAAGCCTCCCATCTCCCCCTGCTCCATCTCTCCACTGGAAATCAAGGAGAACTTGGAAGGAACGCTCCGCCGACGCTCCCTCAGGTAGAGACTTGGAAGCGCTGCCTCTGACCTAGCTTGGCGCTACCTGGTGAGGCTGCTCTGTGCTTGGGCCCTATGATTGCAAATGACTGCAGAGACATGATTAATCGGTGGTATGAAGCACCAGCAAAGAGGTGGAGGGCTCTTGGTCCTGCTGTTGTCATGTATGCCCTCCATTCCCTTCCAGGCTGGCAATCTTTCATTAATAAAAATAAGGATCTCTACTTTTAAGCTAGAAAAGTTACTTAGTTTTACAGCTAGAAAATGGAAAGGTCCGATTGTTACCATCCTTAAATGGCTGGGGGAAGATGTGTTTTTTATGGGGGTGTGACTGAAAGCTGGGATTTCAGCTTTGGGAAGAATCTTGTCGTCTTACACTGGGGCCCTCAGTTGCTCATTCAGTCATTTCACAATATTTTAATTTTTGTTGAGAGCTGGCAAGAGCTGCCTCTTCACAGCTTCCTTCTCAGGAACTCCCCCTCTGACTGACAGGGCAGGAGATGAATTGTTGTTAGGCAGCTCTGGCTTGGGAGCTGCTGGGGGTTTGTAAAAGAGCTTCCATGGTGCTGGGAGAGTAGCTTTTGAGATATGAAGAATACTGAAGCACCTCTGGAAACTGGTTCCTTAGGAGCTAATGTTAATATATGTTGAACCAAAAGCTTCCTAGCAGCTTCCCTGATCTTCCTGTCTCCTTTGCTTTCTAGGCGAAGTAACAGCATTTCTAAGTCTCCTGGCCCCAGTTCTCCAAAGGAACCACTCCTTCTGAGCCGTGACATCAGTCGCTCTGAATCCCTACGTTCTTCTTCTAGCTGCTCTCAGCAGATCTTCCGGCCCTGCGACCTGATTCATGGCGAAGTACTAGGAAAAGGATTTTTTGGGCAAGCAATCAAGGTGAGAGAGCTCCCCAAACACTGATCAAATCACCAGGGTCTGTGTATCGCAGAAACCTTTGCCACTGTCTCAGTGGCCTTTCATTGCCCTGCTGATAGTGGTCGGTCTGGGAACTCACCTGGTTCACTCAGTGAGATCCATTTCTCTGTCTTGTTCCCTGTCCGAGCGTCTCCGGCTGTAGATGGGTTTGACTCTGTCCCTTTTGAATGCCAGCCCAGCCTTGCCCATGCACACCAGTCTCCTGGGTCAGATTTAGCACTCCAGAGTGCCTGTGTCACAGCCGCCATCCCAGTGAGGTGGGGATAATGGGAAACTTGCTCTTACAAGAATCTTTCTTACGAAGAGGTGCATTCAGCTCCCCAGTTCAGCACTTCTCACTGCCCTTAGTGTGGGATCAGCCTGGCACTCAGGGGTGTGTGGAGAATGTAGTGACCATCTCTGAACACCCAGTAGAGCCTAGATGTGTTTGTTAATATGGCAGTAGTTGTCAAGGCTTTCATGACTCTCAGAATTAAAATCTCCTTTAATAGCAGTTCTACTGTCTTGTATTTAAACTCTCTGGTCTTGACTGAGGGTGCTTCAGAAGCTCTTATCCTGGCATCTCTAATAGCATCAGGGAGCAACTTCCTCTGCCTTAGCAATTAGAGGAGCTCACACCACCTTTGGTATTTGCCACACTATGGGACTACTCTCCTTATACCTGCGTAAACTTCAGGTGTCCGGCCACCATATGAGAGTTGGTGAGACAGTACTACAAACCCGATGCTTTTGGTCTATACTAATGAGCATATTTCTCTTCTTCTCTGCTCATAGAGAAATAGCAGGTCCAGGTAAGCAGAACCTTTCCTCTATCGCATGCTTTTGTCATCTGTGTTCGCACAGTTAATGGCACAGAGGCATTTCTTTTCCACTCAAGTTGCCTGATAGCCATCCTGTCCTGGTGCATGCTTTAGGAGCTAAAATCCCCCTCCTGGGGTTCGATGATGGCACTTATTTCAGTTTTGCTGGTACGTCAGCTTAAGAATTACACTTAGCCTTGTCTTGTCTTTGTCTTTTCACTTCCCTTTATCTTTGGGTATTAGATGTCCCTGGCTTCCGTGTCGCTGGCTGAAATGCGTAGCGTTCCCTGGCTCGCTATTTAAATTTGGTTGCTTCATTCCAGACAGAAGCAGAAGAATATCGTACTCTTGCTTCTCTTGTGTTATTCTGTCATTCCATGCCTTGATACTCCACCTTGTTAAGTCCAGTGATTCCAAATAGCACTAATGTGCCATAATATTTTCAAGAGCTCACCGGTTTCCTAAATACCATAACTGGGTCTTGTGTTCTGAGTTGCAGATCTGGAGGTTTTTTGAAAGGCTTTTTATTTTAAAAGGTATGGAGCAAAAAGAAACGACAACTTTCTTGAACTTCAGATTGAATGTTTTTATGCAACAAGTTTTGTAACTGGTCAGAATAGATCCCTCCTGTTCCTAGAGAGAAGGTGCTTGTTTAATTATCCAGAGATCCTAGGTAGACTGAACTGTCCAAGCTAAACAGGAGGAGAAATTTCCAGGAAAACCTCCTCATCAGAATTTGGCCCCTTTTACCTTGTTTCCATGGGGTGTGGGAGTAAGGAGAGAGCTGGTTAAAAGAAGCCTCCAGAACACAGCAAAAGGCCAGGAACTGGTTAGATAAGGGCAAACAGCTCTTGTGGAACTGGAAATGCTTTCACGTTTAAGAGCCAGAAAGTGTATTGTCTGATGTTTATGGTGGATTACTGGGTGTTGGCCAGCATCCTGGGACCTTTCTTGCAGGTAGCAATACACTACTCCCAAGGAGCATGGAAAGACAACTGCTTCCTGCCTTAACTGAATAGCCTGTGCATCCCAGCTCAGCTTGCACAAGAGTCAGTTTGATAAGCTTATCAGAAGCTAGCAGGCTCCAGAGCCCCCATGACACCAAAGCACATATTAATGTAGTTCTGGGTTGTTTGGTTTGATTTCTGATGCAAATGAATGTTGGTCCCTTTGCTGATACTGAACATAACTGTTAGGGTCTGTGTACAAAATTTGAGCACCATGCTGGGCAAACCCTTTCTATAAGGGAACTCAAGGCTTGCACAAGTATGGAACTGATGCCTTCAGAGGCTTCAGCAGCCTGTGTGCATGCTCAGCCCTGTACTACCTAAAATGGAGCTTGCAGCTCTGGTTCTTGGGATGCTATTGATCTTCTGGTATGACTTTCTGTTGGTTTTAGGTACTTCTTGTCTCACTTACAGAATCTTTGCTGAATTCTGAAAGGAGAAATTTTATGTTGTTTTCTGCAGCTCCCTGGGCTTTGAATTTTCTCCCATCTACATCCCTCTCTGGATGGAGGGAGATGTTCAGAAGAATTGCAAGAGCATTGGAGCTATGTATTTGAGACCTTCCCTCTATTTGTGATATCTTTTTCTATCAGGTGACTCACAAAGCAACAGGAAAGGTGATGGTGATGAAGGAGCTGATTCGCTGTGATGAGGAGACACAGAAGACTTTCTTGACAGAGGTAGGAACAAGATTTCAAGAAGTTTCTGAGCTAGTAGTGTGGTGGCGCACTCTTCCCTTTCTTCTTCAGTGGGAGAGAACCCTGGCAGGAATCGGGCAGTGAGGAGGGAGATGTCACACTGGGAAAAGACACACATTGGGAGGTGTCACAGTGGGAAAAGCCTAACTCTAGCTGAATGTTTGCTGCAGTGAAATGTGACTTGCTTAAACTGAGCAGTATACATGGCATTAGCTCCCAGTTCATTAATTTTTCAATGAGAAAAAGCATTCTGAGTCTAAGGCAAATTGAACTGTGCAAATATATACAGGATTTATCCCTTGAGCCTTGTGCACAAATACAAATGGTGAGGGTCAATATCCACATGAAGTTTAAGATTCTTACTATAGTTAAGCTAACCTGTTTTCTTGGTGGCCACTTACCACGTTTATCAAAGTCAGATATAGCTTAAAGGGATCCCTAAGCACCCGGTGCTGCTCTTCTGGCCCTGACACATGCAGTATGGAACAGCTGGCTGCCCTGGAGAGCAGTCGTCTCTTGAAATTTGGCCAAACCTAAAAGTTTTCTCCTTAAAGACTGAAATCGGGCTAATCACACGGTATGGAAATGAAGAGGCAGCAGGAAATTGACTGCCTTAAGGTTGAGGTTTGAGTGCACTCTGTGATCCCTGGAGGTGACCTCCAAGGCTGGAGTGCTGTCCTCTGGGGCAGGAGCAGTGCGAATATCACCACAGGGGATTTGTCAGGACTTGTTCCATTCTGTTCTTTGGGGCTGGGATGTCTCTGCTTCCCAGGTGAAAGTAATGCGCAGCCTGGATCACCCCAATGTGCTGAAGTTCATCGGAGTACTGTACAAGGACAAGAAGCTGAATCTCCTCACCGAGTACATTGAGGGGGGCACTCTGAAGGACTTCCTCCGCAATGCGGTGAGTGTGTACTGAGAGAGGGCCTGGTAGACCCCTACTCCCTCTGGGATGAAGTTGGCACTGCGTTGTGGTTGTGTCTGCCTTATGGTGTTTGTTGCTAGTCTTCTCCTGTGGAGCTGCGTGGAAAAGCTTCCCTTAGCTATTGGGGGCCTGGAGCATGGAAGTGCTGACTTCTTGGGGCTGTGTCATCTTTCTCTGACTGCTGTAAGAGTCTCTGCTGAGAAGGAATTGCTGTCACCAGCTGGCTAGTAAGATATCCCCTGACTGTTGAGGACTTATCTTTCAGGACCCATTTCCCTGGCAGCAGAAGGTCAGCTTTGCCAAAGGAATTGCCTCTGGAATGGTGAGTCAGACTGCCCCTTCCATCACGGAGCAGACCTCCGTGTTAGCTGCTTCAGCAGTGTGGTGTGTATGAGGGGTTGTGGATGCTGCCTGGCTGCTAGGAACTGGGTTCGTGCTGAGGGCTGTAAATACGAAGGGATGTGTTTGTCTGGGACCCTCTGACGCTGAGTACTCTCCCTCTGTTCCAGGCCTACTTGCACTCCATGTGCATCATTCACAGAGACCTGAATTCACACAATTGCCTAATCAAGTTGGTGAGCTATACCTCTCTTCCCTACAGCATGCTGCTTTCCTCCCCATCCTCTTCTTTCCCTGGTTTTCTCCACATGATCAGTTTGGAGCCCTCTCTTGTCAGGATATAGAACTGATCTCAGGGCGGCTTTTAACTAGGGAGCTTTATCTTCACATAGGATATTCCAGTTTGGTCTTGTTTTCACTGTTTCTTCATCCTGCTCTCTCACTTCCTCTCCTGTGGTAGCATCTCCTGTTAACAATCATATTATGAGAATTAGTTCAGCTCTGTTCCTTATCTCAACTAAGAACTGTTCTCTACAGCTGATTCTGTTCTTTTAATCGCTTGCTGACTTTTTTTTACTGCCACTCAGGATTCAGAAAAGTGTGTGGGTGTGTGTGCACTTGTGCATGCTCTCTCTTTTTGAAGTGCTAGGTCACAAGATTTTTGTGTAGCTTCATTCCCTCAAGCCTTGCCTCTGGTCACTTGGCTGGAATGAGAGATTGGCATCTAGGCTTCAGACAACCCAGGATCAAAGTCTTGGTTAATTTCTGGCAAGGTAGAATAGGAAGGTCTGAAAAGAAAAGTCCAAGCTTGCTCTGGCAAGTGTAGCCAAGTTAATAGGATTACTGTTGATGACCACACAGGAAGAAATTAGACAATGAGGAGAGGAAATGACAAGTTAAGACCGTGAACCGGGTGTCCTACATCTGTCCAGATGACTTGCTGTACTCATGTGGCTGCAAGAAACCTTGCAGGTAGCCCTTCTAGTATAGTCAGTAGAAAACAGGAATTGCAGCCTTTTTGCTTCTGAAAGGAACTGAGAGGAATCAGTGGTTTGTACTAAATCCCTTGCGTAGGATAAGACGGTGGTGGTGGCTGACTTCGGTCTATCTCGGCTGATTGTGGAGGAGAGGAAAAAGCCCACTTTGGAGAAGCCTTCTGCCAAGAAGCGAACCCTGCGCAAGAGTGACAGGAAAAAGCGCTACACAGTGGTTGGGAACCCGTACTGGATGGCTCCAGAGATGTTAAATGGTAAGATACTGATAACCAGGTGCAGATGAGGAGCCAGCCTGTGACAAGGTATAGGGTTGATAGGATTACTGAAAGCTCCTATCCCTTAGTAACAGTCAAACCTATTAGAGTGTATGGTTTTAGACCTGCTAATATGTGAGCTTTTTTATACACAGAAGTGCCCCAGCTGCACTTCCTGTGACTGTACCTGCCCTGATAAGCCTTTGTACCAGCAATCTTCCTGGCAGGCAACAGGGCTCCTTGGGAGAGCAATAGACCGAAACTTGCTATGGTCCAGGGAAGAAAAAAAGGCTTGAAACAAGATTGAACCTGAGATCAATTTCTGTAATAACCTTGTGCTTTATGACTGCCCTTTGGGAGGCAGGGAGTTATTGAACTCCAGGATGAGGTTTGTGTGCGTTGTTGCATAGGTCCAGGGAGAAGCCATCTGCAACCAGGTTTGCTGGAGCCTTGTGGTCAGGGGTGTCTGAGGGCACTGGAAATCTGTTTTTGGCATGTGACATTCACTTGCGTTAGGGATGAACCATGTCCCTCAGGGGAAAAACTGCCCCTGCAGAAGTTAAGGTAAGGGTGAAACACGATGGGTACAATTTTCCCCTAATGAACAGGTCTTCTGACAAGGCTGGGCAGTTGGGCTGGCTGTGACATTGCCTAACTGGTTAGACATAGGCCACCAGGGAAGGGAGGACTTGGATCTTCTCCCCTATACTCAACCCTTCTCTGTATTGCTTTCTTGTGTGCTGCCCTATTTGCCTTCTCTCAAGGCCTGCAGGCCCTGCTGGAGTCTGAGCCTGCTTCTTAGAGGCTGCCTCAGACCTGGCATTTATCAGAACAGCAAGAGTGCAGTCTGACATCACCTCTCGAGGCAAGGCTGTTTACCAGTTTTGCTGCTCTGTACTCCTAGCTGTTATTCTGGTATCGGCTGGAGCGGGGGTGGGGGTCTGTAAGTGGAGAATAGCCTGCAGGAGCCAGGCTGCTTTGCCAGATTCAAAGTGCTGCTAGTGTGTAATTTATTACCTCTGCAGTCCCTGCAGCAGGGACTAGGCACTCGCGGACTGCCAGCGAAGCTGAACACTGACTCAGTGCACTGACTCAGTGCACTGTAGAGAGGCACCAGAACAGCAGCCAATGGGACTGGGCAAAAGCTTTCCAGAGGTGTCCCTAGATTTTGGTCAAACCTCTGATACATGAGGCTTTCCCGTGTAGAAGAAAGAAGCACGGTTAAAATATGTGGTGGTTGTGTATGGGAAGATGCAGTTGGTATACATACATCATTTCCCATCCTGGGGCAACTGACCCAGCCCGGATTTTAGCCCTGCTGTAACTTCTGTTCATAGGGCCCTCAGGAGAACAGGCTTAGTTAAGCTTTGGAGACCAAGCCTGGGACAATGCTGGCAGGTCCTGGAATAGCTGGATGGGGAACTGTCTCACAGAGCTGCATTTCTTATGTTTCCTACAGGACAGAGCTATGATGAGACTGTGGATATCTTCTCATTTGGGATTGTTCTCTGTGAAGTAAGTCTTAGGTCATTATGTAGTATCTTTGGGCTTCTCCTTCCCCATTGTCATCTCCGCCACACATTGTATCAGACAGTTCCCAGTTCCCAGTGGCTGAGTCTATGGCCTGGGACATAACAGCTCAATGAGTTAGGCTAGAGTACAAACAAGCTCACTCTGCCTCTGTCCCCTCAAGGAAGATGCCTCTCTTGTAACTTTTTGGCCCCAGAGAGTTTCCTCTTGGACTGAAAGAAGCTACAAAGAAGTCCAGCTGGTTCTGACTGAGCCCTGGTGTCCATTTAGCCAGAGGAGTTGTTCTCTGAAACTTGTTTTTTTTGTTTTTCTGTTGCCTCAAGAAAAGAACAATTGGCTGTATAATTACCTCAACAGATTCAGAGCCCCCATCCTGGATGGCATTTGATTTCAAAGAAGTTGAAAATTCTTTGCAGGTTGATTAATGAAACTTTCACCCTGAAGTCTGTAGGCTTAGGATATCTCTGAGCTGATGTACGATCTTATTGCTGTATCAGGCTTTTCTGTCTGCAGAGCAAAGAACACCCCACCCTTCCTCTGCATTTCTACTGTCGTATACACCTTTTAAAATGAAAATACCTTTTCAAGGTTGCTATGTGTACAGAAAACACAGCAGTTTCAGGAATGTGGGGGGAGATCAGCACAGTTTCTTCCTCCATGCCCTCCATGCTTGGATGAAGGATGTGAAGAAAATATCTGAGTATAAATCTTTGTGTCCTCATCTGGAACTCTATTTACACTGGGCCCTCCTCTCAGAGAATTTTGTGGTTGTGAGCAATGGATTTGGGAACTTGAAAAACGTGTATGATGGATTAAAACAATTGTTTCCTCTGGGAAAAAAAAGACAAAGGGGTGGTAGCAGATGAGCATTTCCCTTGTCACCAAAATAAAGATGCTAAAAAAAGAAGTAGCATACTCAAAATAGGTAAGGAATTAACTCTGCCAAAATACATAATGGGTGTTCCACTGTCTACTTGCAGGACCAGGTTGTCCTGCTGAGTGATTGGCATAGGAAAGCCTGGGTGTTAATAAATAAGAACACCCTTTTCGTGATACTTGACGAGGCTTTAAACCTGGTACTTTTCTGGATGTGAGACTGTAGTAACGCTGACCACCTCTAAATCCAGATTACCCTACAGCTGCCTGCTGAGAGTTCCTTCCCTCTTCCTACCTCTAGTGTCTGGCACTTACTTCTGAGCTTTGCTTGATGGCACCTAGTGCCAGAGGTGGTGAGGGCACCTCAGTGGAGTATATGTTGAGTACTGGGACTTTCTAAGCACTGGAGCAGGGCCTCTGTCCCACCCATCCTTTCTCTACTGGCTCTGGCCTGCAACCCCTGAGCGTTTGTTATGGTTGTTCTTTCCTCTCTCTCCTTTCTGGCTGTGGGTGGGTTGAGTCTGCTGGTAGCAGAGCGCTCAATTTGTGGTGCTGTTGCCTTCACAGCATGGTTTGTAGGATAGAGCTTTGTGGGAGGGGGAGGGAAGGAATGGTGATGCAGGTTGTGTCAGTCACCTGCGATCGGGAGGGGCTGCATTGTCCCCAGCAGCACACAACAGAGTAGCTGACCTAGCAGTTAAATGCTCTCCAGCTCTCTAGGAGGTGCACATTGTGCACCGTGGGGAGAAAGAGAAAGTAGCTGGGTCTCCCTCCACAGCAGCAGCCATGTTGCCAAGTCTTGCAAAAATTTTGCATCAAGTTTGTCTGTATTCAGTGTTCTTGCTTGCTTGCTCCGTTGTGCAACTAGCCCCACTA